CCCGGCCCGCCCCGTTTTTGGCGGGCCAGGCCAAAACGGGCCGGGCTGGCCCGTTTTGCCATCCCTCATACCACATCATTGGCATCATTTGTGGGGATATGATAAAATCAATTCCCATTGTGCAACATGGTTAACACTCGATGCTAGGTTATGCACCTCAAAGCAACCCTAAAGATCATGTGAAAGAGGTTGGTTCCTCCTACTACATGCATGTTGATGTGACCCCACGTTAAACATCATTTTTCTTGCAAATAGCTTGTGAAGGTATGATCGAATGATCGAGAATGTCCCACCTCCCTATTCTCCCATAAAACAACACTTGGATCAACATGTAAATCAACTAAAACAAACATCATCTTATAGTTATGTTCCCGAATTTTAAGGTTGAACTCGTCCTAAGGAACCTCAATATAGAGTTGTAGGATTCTGAGTTGAAAAAATTGTTTGACCTGACGATCCAATAAACTACATTAGGTTGTGCTCTAAAATTTGGAATACAAAAAGAACCAAATCTATTTGCTTCGACCCAATACGCATAACAAACTAAAATTATTTGGCTTAAGTATTATATGTTACATCCTCATGTGATATTTTCGCATCACAATTGATCGGAAAAGACGAAATCTTGAAGAAAGAACTTTTATGTTTATGTAACTATGCTTGCAGATATCTTCTCTTAAAAAAAAAATGTTTGCAGTTTTAGGATATGGCATGCTGGTGAATTACCTGTGTCCGAGCATTTACATTGAATAGATATTTTATTTGGAAAAGACTATGTCAAATTGGTGTAATTAATGAAAAAATAAAGCATGCAAAATATTGGCGTCGCCCGGACTCGAACCGGAGACCTTCAGTGTGTTAGACTGACGTGATAACCAACTACACCACGACACCGGATATGCCAATTTTCCATCTATTATTAATAGCTTAAAATATAATTATTAATTATGTTATATTTTTCTTGGTTACTGTTGAAATCATGTTACATGCCATCCAACTCTATAGATTTTATAATACACCAGTTTTTCCTTTTTCTTTTTTGGAAATATCATACAAAATTAGTGACAGTTGACAACCACTATAATAATAAGCATTTACGTAATGCTTTAACTTCCGAAAGAAATAGTCGAATTATCTTCCAACGAAAAAAACCTTTCACAAATTTTAAATTAGAGGAATGAATGATACATCCTCCAAAATTTCGATCGAAATCATGTTCGAATAAATTTTGATTGATGCTTAAAAAAATTTTAATTATAAAATATAAATTTTAATTAAAAATAAAGAAGCTTTTTAATTTGTCGGAGGATGATTCAGAACGTGAATTCGGAGGATACAACATTTTTCTTTAAATTAAATTAATATTTGTATTAAAAAATTAACAGTTGTCGATTTTTTTAATGATTCGATGGATAATTTGGCGTTTCATTTCGGAGATGAAGCATTTTTCTTTATTCTTTCAAGCACCAATTAATAAATTATTTTATAATTCAAGATCCCTTAGACTGAAATGCAAAAAAAAGAAAAAGAATATATGAACTGATTTCATTGTCTTTACTGTGTAAGAACTACAAGATCACTTCAAGGATTCTATGGACTTCCGTGTAATTGATCACTCAATGATTGTAGTATGACACATCAATGTCATCGTCAACATGCAATGGATCATGTGGGAGACATGTTTTATTTCATATCGCAACAGAAATTTGTATTACTCATGATAGAAACATTAAACTTTAGAGTAATATAAGACTATTTGTAACTCTTTTCTTATTTCTCAACATTTTCATATTTGGGTTTGGCACCCCTAGTGCCTCCTTAATACATTTCTTTTAGCTAATAAAAAAAAATTTCAAGGATGCGTTTCACATTCAAGAGTCTTGGACCGATCATAGAACCTTATTCAAATAACAAAACATATTAGCACCATTGTGTAAGTGTACCTAGAGACGGAGGCAAGAATAATTAAGAGGGACCAATTGAAAATTAAAGTTGATCTAGAAAATTTTCAAAAATATGCCTAAATAATGACAAATTGTCATAAAATACAAAAAATAATACTTATACTTCAATAAATATTTCTATAAAGAAAATTCAATCAATCCATATGTTGAATTATGTGATATTATACTTAAGATCATATATATCAAATTTCACACGATTCTAAAATTATTTAATAGTTCATCAAATTAATTATTTCTTAGGTATAATATGGTATTAAAAATGTGTAAATGTCCATTGTTGAATCACATATCTAGAAAAGTCTGAATTGTATGAAATTTGATATATATGTCTTGAGTATAATATCACGTAATTCAATGATTGGATTGATTGAATTTATATTATATAAAAAGTTATTAAATGTATAAGATTTTATGTAAATTTTTAAACTTACACCTAATATTAATAGATTGCGACTCATATATGAAGGGGTGAAGAGGGGAGGGAGTAGAGGTCAAGGGTGACTTGGTTGTCATTCATGTTAGCAAGAGAGAGGGGTGGAAGGCAATGTTGAACTGGACGATGAAGAAGGAGAGCAGCGGGG